TAGGCAACAACCAGCTGACGTCCGACTCTGCAAAGCTATGCAAAGATGCGACAAAGGGAGACCGAAGAGAAAAGCAGCAGCAATGGCTGGAACAGCAGAGCCTGGGAAGAGCATCCACAACGCTTGCCGTCAAGAGAAAGAGCAAGACGATTGGCTGCGATGTCCGTGCGTGACCACTGCATCTCGATGTACAGTGGGAGAAGTCATTAACTCTCTACTACAATCTCTTCGACAGCGATGTCCACCTGGCATCTTACCACTCACAGTAGTACTGGCTGTCGGAGGACCACGTCAAAGCGAGGGTTCACGAAAAGATACCACTAACACTACCACTTATTTCTCAATGACAATTCAGCTGACAGCTAGGAAGTATAAGGAAGCCAGGGTTGCGGCAATGAAGGTCCTGGCTGCTGTGAGAGCCGCTCACCACGAGTATGTCAGCAAGAAACTGGAGACATGCAACAATGAGCGACCAAATTAGACTCCCTTGGCATCGCTCGTACGGACTCGCCTAACCTCGCCAATGTCAGACCGAAGATGTGGAGGTTTTTGTCATGGCCATCTTCTGGTAAACCGAAAGGGGGGGGGGGTACTACAACGACGGCGCCACCTCTTCCAGACGGTTTTGGCCGTAGAATTCATTTATCCGCTTTATCCCCAGTGACGCGCCATATACGGTCCTGTTTTTGAGATATCGGCATAGGGAGACCGTGTTGGCTTTGAAGAAGATTATCAAAGGCAAAGCGATAGACCTCGCTGACTTTGCACCTAATTTATGGTAGTCACACCACTGCTATCCTGCAGAATGATTGACAAACTAGTCATAAGTTCATGCGTTTCCAAAAGATTGAATTGTGGGACCGAACTTTCACAAAATGTGCCGACCCATAAGTATTTCAGCACCCTTTTTTGGAAAGAAGAATCTTCATGTAAGTTGAAGTGCCCAATCCATCACAACCTGAATGGTAGACATATCTTATGCTCTTGAATCTCAAACTTGCTGTAACAACTTTTACTGCCTTTCAAAAAAATAACAATGTTTCATAACAAATGGATGGTGATTTCAACAGAAAACATTGGACCTTGTAACAACATAACAACATATTGATAATCAACTCACAGCATGCTCTGAAAATAAAAATTGAGTACAGTCTTGTCCACAGCGTGTGCTGGGAAGTGTCAGGGTGGGGGGCTGGTTAAGGGAAGAATCCAGGTGTATTTCATGTTCTTAGATGCACACGCCAGCCAACTTTCCAGCAGTTCTTGTCGCTTGCACCTCCCCTCAACAATTGGTGGAGGTTAGGCAGGCTTACCCCTCACACGCCCCAGCCCCTGCCGCGAACAAGACGGCAATACTCTGTCAAACCTAGTGCTATAATAAACTCATCCTATTACATACATACATATAAGAACATTAGGATTTATTCCTCTTCATATAACTCCCCAGATCTCTTCTAATCCACTCGTAACTTTAGCACACGTTAGGGCAGCACTCAAAGGGTAGTTGCTGATCTTCACGTCCCGATCTGTGTAATCAGTGACTATCTGAAAGACAGCTAAGCGGAATAGCGAAACAGGAATAATACATGCAGTTACGCAGCTTTAAAACGGACACTTTTCAATTTCAATTGGCCACACTGTTCACGAACCTTGAGAACGATTCAAATCTTCCACAACGGAACTAATTTTTGAAACGCATTTATTTTTCACAGCAAACTGTTATAGAGAGGCGGCGTTGACTCCCTGATCTATTCATTGTTATTTCATACACTCAGATGAGTGCGCCCATCAAAAGCAGATACCAAGAGGAGCAATTGCAACAGGGGTACCAGGGTGGAGATGTAGGTGGTCAAGATACACACTAAGAAGAAGAAGCGCGCCCAGTGCCTAGAATACATAAGGAGAATTAGGTCGGAGTAGAATTGAATCGGAATAGCCCCTGTGTCTATGTGTTCATACAAGCCTCTTGGTAAAGTATCTAGCAGCAAGCGGGACAGAATCAGTGTTAACCACTAGTCCTTACACTTACATCAATGATGTGAAGAAAAAAGTAGATCAGCAAGAAGCGAAACGCATAAATGCGAAAACGATAAATCTGATGTTCAGCAACTTTGAAATCTTCATCACAGATTAGAAGCAGTAATGAAAATCTGTGTGTTGATAATATCAAGAACACTCACTTTCCCTCTTGCGATGCCTCCAATAACAACCACTAGAGGTGCTTCATCTTTTGGTGATATGAGTTTGTTCGGTAAAACTAATTCTTCTGTATTAAACGTCATCAATATCTTACGGCTTCCGACTGGTAGATAGTTGGAGACTGGATTTTTGATAACCTGAAACGAACTCCTATGGTGAGGGCATTCATTCTTCTTATAGCAGAATTCGTATAGGAATCACACGTTCAACCTTGGAGTAGAACACGCGCTTACCAAATCCTTCCAACAAACAAGCAAAAGGCGGTTCTACTGTAGGCGATGGGAGCCATGCGGACATGCATTCCCTTGCGCACCCAGGCTCAGCCTTAGAAGAGCACAGACGTCTAAATCCGTCCGGCCATCGTTTCGAGACGCAGATGGCAAGATGGCATCGCGTTGCTCCGTAAGCCTGCATTCATAGTTTCGACTAGGCACTTTGGAAGAAGCAGCGATTTGAGCGAAAAGAATAGTATAAAGTAACGATCGGCACACAAAAGACCGATTCGCTACGATCCGCTCAAAAGGCTACTTTGCTCGAGATGCTGATTCTCTTCAATGCCGATACCTACACTTTCCGCTCAGAATGCCGATTAATCCAGAACGCTAATTCGCTCGAAAGCTGCCTCCCCGAAATGTCAAGTATGCACACAGCACAACTTCCATCAAATACAGCTGCACGCGAAACAAATACCAAAATTAATATGATGATGCTTCAAACAATCACATAAAACACTCACTGTTAACAACTTCTGGGAACTATCTGCCGCACGAACAACTAACTTGTGAAGAAGTTGCACTAAATTAAAGCACACTATGTGAAAAATATATAGCTAGAACAAGAGAAAAATAGTTGAACGCAGATCTTCAACAAAATTACATTTAACTCTTGCGAAATGGGGAAGAACACCATTTATGCGTATAGGCAAATAAATTACTTCTGCTTCATGGTAAAACAGTAAATATTGATCAAGATTGTGACATTCTACTTGGAACACGGGTTTATGTTTAGTCAAGTTTCGTTTGGGAAGCTATGCCTGCTTTGCTATCGTTCTTTGTTAAGCCACCATCCCCTCTCAAAACCGGAATCCTATTACAGGCACCCAAGATTCACTCAGGAAGTAGAAATGCACGTGAATTATTCCACAGAAAAGTAAGCGTGTCCCGACTGTTTGAGACCGCAACCGTACAGGAACTTTGAGCATTTTTTTAACAAAATAGTCTTCTTCAACAAAATTTCCATGACAAACAAACTAACCCATAAGACCGCAAAATCTGTCGAAGGTTCGTGGTATACGACACTGAGGACTCACACGCACCAGTACGTTTTTATTTCGTTCGGAAAAATACCAGCAGCTGACCTGCTCGATTCAAGGGACTGTCCAATAGGTTCAACAAACACTGCAACATAAGGACTCATTGTAGACTCTTATGTGCACTACAAGTATTTAGCACTGTTCGAATAGCTATAATATACAACTTATATATGCTTTTGCGAACCGTGGAAAAGGCAAAGACAACGGCAACATACCTAACGGTCATATACCTCCAGCATCCACGCCCTCCCCGTATACGAGATACGGAGTGTACGCTAACAAGTATACGGAGAACCGCTGAGAACTAGGTGATACAGTTAAGGGGCATTCCCAAACGGACGTGGATACTTGTTTACGATACCGCAGACTTAACAAGAAAAAAAAAGCTATCTTCTAAAAATGGAGCGCTAAGGTATTTGAGAAGACCACAACACAACACACTCACAACACCTCTGCATCGCTTCTCCTAACCAAAGCTTAGACTCAGAGAGTACACGGTCGGAGTCGCGTAGGGACGCTGCTCTGCAAGAGTATCCGGACTTGTGTACCCGCCGTTTAGTCCTGGATCCTCCGAGCGCTGTGGAGTGATCCCCCCTCAGTGCCAAAAAACGGAACAAAAAAAAACATCCAAAAACGGACATCCAAAAATCAGAGGACTCTGCGGGCTAAAAAAACGAGTACCCTGTTGCCGCGATACACATTCCATCACAGGCTCAGTGCATGGATCTTTCGAGGAGGGGACAAATGGTATCAGGTCACACTGTGCCGCCACGCAACGCGCTTACACATCCAAAATCATGACGCTGAATTCGAACAACTCGACGTTAAAATACTATTCTCTTGAATCGAGAACTGATATAAAAACTACCTGATGTAGAATATCGGGTCGATAATCCGCTGGGTCTTTCTTATTCTTCCGCAAAAAGTTTGCGTGTTTGTCACTACACAAGTATTGCATAGTCCTTACCTACCTATAATAAAAGTATTGAAACTCATGTAGCACTTGACAAAGACCAATCCTTTTTTGGGCGAAGCGGCAGTCATATCGGTTTGGCTGATTTTGAGTAATTGCTTTCCTCCTAACTCAACAATATCGCTGCCGACAATGCAGAACTTTTCCCGCAATGCAAATGCCGCTCATAATTCGTACCCTAAGAGGTTGTGGACTGAAAGAATGTTAGAGTATGTTAGTACGAAGGTTTATAAGGCATTGTTCACAGTCTGCGGTCCAGCGTTTCTCAACGCGGCGGTTCGGCGAAAAGCTTTCGATACGTATCGACTGGCGGTTGGGCGAAGAGTCTGGCGGTTGGGCGAAAGGGTTTTGATACGAATCGACGGGCGTTTCGCCAAACCGCGACGTTTTTCGCCTTTCGACGAAACGTATAAGACTCGCCAGGCGCCGGCGTCTTTTCGGCCAGTCGAAAATTAATACAATATCTATGGCTTTCGCCCAAACGCCGAACCGCGGCGGTTCGCGGCGAAACTAGCGGTTGGCGATTCTCCGATCGATGACTATTTTTTGCTTTTCTCCCAACCGCCGTTTCGTCAGGGTGGCAGACTGTGAACAATGCCTAAGATTTACTGCACACCAGACGGCACTGAATTGACATCAAGACGTTCCTCATCCAAATTCAATGTTATTTTGCATGTAAAGTCATCTAGGGCGTCCTCCGACCACAAAACATTGACATCCCATTCTCAGGCGCCAACGGTTATGTTGTTCTTACTGTTCAGACAGAGCTGAGCTTGCCGTAAGGAAGAAGTTTGATTCCCCACAAGCGTCGGCCTAAGCAGAGCGCAGACACGCCAGTGTCTACCATGAAAGCGAAATGTCACTTCCGTACAGCCGCAACCGAGCTATCCACTAGAAGAAAGTGCTAGTTTCAGTAGGCATAAAAAATGTCTGGATTGCGCCGCGGCTGTGTTTCGCACGCAGCAGATCCATTACAACACCAGTTGTTGGGTGGATTAGCTAAAAAAAACGACGAGTGATCGAAGATATGATCCCTGCTCACTTGCGCAGAAGGAAAAAAGAATGGTGTGGGCGCCGCGCCGGACACGGCCTTCTCATCCGCAGCGAACCCAAGACTATGATTGCTGGAAAAGAAGGCGGCGCGGAGTCGCTGATCAGGTTAAACAGAAGACAAACCAATTAGTTCATACTGCACAACATTCTACATTACCTTTGCTGATTCGAGGCTGCAACCTTCGAGAACAACATATAATATCCTCTTCTCGCTCGATGACTCGTCTGTTTTCATCTTTTTCGCTCCTGGCGGAGCGACAGTGTCGTACTCCTCTGACATACTGAAAGTACTAGAACTGAACTCCTTGAACTTGATTCGATGACGGGAATTAGGAGGGGTAACAAAGAGCGAGAGAACTGTCGCCTAATCCGACACCCGGAACGAGTAACAGACGGATAAAAGCGGTATCTCCAGGGAAAACATGTAAGTGAATTTAAGATGTGGAAGGGACGCATGGTCCCACTACCAACTAAAGTAGTTGTCCTGGAAAACTCCCGTTTTCTGGAAGTAAGTTTAGGCGTCAGGAGAGTGACTCGTGTGTAAAAGTAGTAAGCACTAGAATGTCGTTCAGAAAGATGTCACGATGTCAGCTCCGGAAACTAATCAAGATCTCCTGGATCGAAAGAAGCTCAGCTGTTTATGAAACGCTCAGGTAATCATTCGAACTAGAAATGCCCCTAAAATGCCTCATATTAAAAGGCGAAAAAGCTCATCGGGATTAGATACAACGTAAAAATGGACTTTCTGGTGTGCCTCAGCAGTCCGCATTTTTCCATTTATGGCTGATCCACGGTAAACATGAAGGAAGTAAATGAAAAAGCTGGCAAGCGGAGTACGCGGGCACTTTGTACAAAGGGTGTGATTGCGTACCTCAATCCGCTACCGTATCTTACGCCTAATTTTGCTCTCAGCTGTCCTCGCAGCCAGAGGAAAAACCAAGAAAAAGTCAACAGCCGAAGCATTTTGCTCACGGACCTCCAAACTCCAGCAACTGAACACGATCCCTTCCTATCTCTCTGAGGATCTAGCTCTCACTGTAGGTTTCCGACTGTGTGGCTACGAGAGACACACCTTATTAAAGGAGAAAAGCTGAGACCTTTACTGGATCCTAGCTTGTACTTGCAGAGTGAATTGCTCGTTATGTGCTATGGTAATTTC